GTTGTAGTGGAGATTGGGTAGTCATAATGACATTTATTGGGGGGAAGCCAGGAATGCTAAAGGCTCAGCAATGCATGGACAGTATTCCACAACTTTTTGAATGTTACACTGAACATTCATGTAGGTGAAAGTCCTGTATCCATTTATCTGCGCCTAACAACCAAGTTCATTTTCCATATGAAGACAAAGTCTATTGTGGCATGATTTTAATATTCCAGGGAGGCAAATACTATGCAAAGTGAATGAAGAGTATACTTTGTGTTCAACTCTACCTAGAGTAATTCACCATTTCAGAAAATCATGTCAGCACAACAGTTCTGCTATTGTATTTGAGCCTCCAATTGGCACTTGTAATTGTTGATGTTGGGTCAGTGCTTCTCAAACTGTAAGGTACACGTGATTACCTGGGTATCATCTCCCTCCCTGTTGCCTTCCCTCCTCCCTCCTCCCTTCCTTTTTCCCTAAAAAGTGGAAGAGACTGTCTGGGTAATAATGGAAAGAATCCATCAGGGAAGGAGAGGCTGACCATAACAGAGAGGGGCGGATTAAGGAGTGAAAATCCTTAGAAGGTAGGTAAAGAGGGCGTCCAGGCATAGTAAAAGGATCTGGTCTTTGTTGAGAGGAGCTGGTTTTGTAAATGGAGATAAGAAAGAGAGAATGGCTGGAGATACAGGAAGAGTTAGAAACATGATGGCAGGAAGTTGAGAGATGTCACATCCCCTATGTCCTACCCACACCCACAGCAGGACTAGCCCCCTTTCTGTCTTCAGCTTCTTTCTATAGAACTGGCCTATGGTTGGCGGATGGGTGGAGAAATAAAGGCAGGGAGACCATATTGAACTCTCTACCTCCCAGGGCAAGTGCTTTGGAAAATAATATACAAGTAAGTTATCATTACTACTACTACTACTACTACTACTACTACTACTAATTATGATTGTTCTCCGAGGTCAGCACTGACCAATAGGACTTTGTGCAATGATGGAAATGTTTAAATCTGTGCCAGTTAATATTGTAGCCACTAGCCACATGTAGCTATGGAGGGATCAGTTAAAAGGCATGCCAAGTGCAACTGAGAAACTGAATTTTACACTGTATTTAATTTTAATTAATTCACATTTAAATAGCCACCTGTGGCTACTGTCTATTGTATTGAATTGTGCAACTCTACATGTTTTCTGCCTCTGTCTCAATGTGGTTCTTCATTGATGTCGTTTGGGACTAAGAGCCCTGGATTAGGAGTCACACCAGAGTCAAATTTCAGCTGTGCCCTTTCCTGGCCCGGGGACTTTGGGCAATTCACTTCCTTCCCTGGGCCTCCAAGCCCTCTATTTCCTTTTGGTCAGTGGAGAGATGGAAGAGTCAAATGAGCTAAGGGTGTGAAGGCACTTGGAGCTGTGAAAGGCTACACTCCTCTCATGCAGAGGAGCCAACCCACCACCTACCTTTCCTTCTATTGGCTGCTCCCTTCTCTGTAGGCTATTCAAAGTTATTTGATTAATGTAAATGTTTCCCACTGGCCTCTAGCCCCTGTGTAGCTGTTTGCTTCCTTTTGGATCCCTAGGGACTAGTACATAGTAGGCTCTCAGTAAATATTTGTGCAATGAATGGATGAAACAGGAAGTGCTAATGTTTGAAATTAGGAGTGATTTCAAAGCTCACTGAGCTCTAGAACTTTACAATGTCTATTACCTTCCCCTGTTTATAAGGGTGGAAATACTGGAAAAAACCAAAATATTTAATATAGGGGATTGGCTTAATTAAATGATTCTTCTTTTTTTTTTTTTTTTTTTTATCCTCACCTGAGGACATTTTCCCATTTTTTGTTCAGACAGAGTGGGAGGGAGAGAGAGGAAGGGAGAGAGAGAGAGAGAGAAACATCCATGTGAAAGGGACACATTGAGTGGCCGCCATCCACAGGACCAACCAGGGCTGGGGACAAACTGCAACCGAGGCACGGGAACCGAACCAGGGTCTCCCTGTACTGCAGGCCGACGCTCCACCGCTGAGCCAAACCGGCCAGGGCAATTAGATGATTCTTAAGATACCATTATGCAAAAGAATATTGAGTGACACACAAAAAAGGTGTATTTATATTGGTAAGTGAAAAAATAAAAACTGAAAGTGTTACTATAATCTATCTTTGTAAAAGTTATATATTCATATGCATAGGAAAAGTTTAGAACAAGAGATACAAATATTAACAGTGATTGCTGTTGCTGGGTGGGATTAAGAGGCAGTACTTTTATTCTTTCTTTCTAAAACATCTATTTGATTTTTTTAGGAAGTGTACTTAATACATGAAGAAAAAGCAAAAGTAGAGAGACAGAGACTAGATTAGTAGTTGCCTATGATTGGGGGTGGGAATGGGGATTAACAGTAAAAAGGTAAAGGGATTTTATGGGAAATCTGTAAAACGTCCGAAAACGGATTTATTTTGATGTTGCACCACTCAATAAACTTACTAAAAGTCCTTGACTTATACACTTGAAATGAGTGAATATTATGATATGCATATATGCCTCAATAACAAATTTAAAAAATATATCATATACACATTCTTTAAAATATTAAAACAGTGCGGAAATATTTAAAGTCTGCCATCCGATACCCAATTCTACTTTCCGGGAATAATGATAGTAACTGGTGTTTACTCTTTTCTGACTCTTTCCTATGCAGAATCCAAGTATTACATAACACATTATAGATATGTAAATTTTTGCATACATTGGACATACATTGTAGGACATGAAAAACTTAACAGTAGCTTCCCTGGGAGATAGGATTAGGGGTAGAAGGAGTTGAGTGGGGGGCAGGAAGGGAGAGACATATTTGAAATTCTCATTTTCTTTACTTTTGTATCATTTCCATGTTTTTGTCAGAAATGTTTAGAATGATAAACTCAATAAATATATTGAAATAAGAGATATTATTGAATACTTAATGCCATGCAGTCCTCCCGTTTAGAAAATTTTTGTAGTTTTGTAATTTTACCGAGTGCCAGGCACCATACTGAGTACCTGAGATATGTTGTTTCACTGACTTCTTATTACAACTCTATGAGGTATGCACTATTATAGTCTCACTTGATAGATGAGTAAACTAAGACCTAGACTAATTTTCCAAGGTCCCACAGCTAGTGTACACTGAACCCAGATCTTTATGCCATGGCATCTCTTCTCCCTCCAGCAGATTCATGTTCTTCTTGTAAAGCCCAGCTTCAGTGATCTCCTTTTATGTGTATGAGTAGTTCCCCCTAACCCACTCAAGTAGAGAGATGACCCAGTCCTCAAGGTGCTTACAGTTTGGGGAGGACACAGACAGCTAAACAATTACAATGTAGTGCCACAGAACACATGATTGAAAGGCTATGTGCAAAACAGAGGGAGTTTAAACAATGTGTCTGAGGCAGCCAAGCAGCTCCTGAGAGAGTAGGTTCTGAGCTCACTGATAAGAACTGCAAGGAGCTTCTCAGGATTAAAGAAAGGTGTGGGTGGTTGAAAATGAGGAGAGGGTATAGAAAGAAATTTGGGGCTTAGCACCTGGCTCAGGAGGCTCAGAAGTGTTACAAACCTGGGCATACTCCAGCAACTACACTTCTGAAGTTCAGTGTGGCTGCAGCGTCAAGTTGGCCTGAAGGACAGGCAAAGGGAAAGGCTTGCACCTTGGAATTTAGGAACAGGTCACCAAAACTTTTTAAGTTGAATTAGAATGTTCACACTTTATCCCGTGAATGAAGCAGAGCTGCTAAAATATTGGAGTCTGGTATGTAAGAAAGATGGGAAGGGGACTGTTGTTGCTCCCCCCTGGACCCCATTTCTCCCAGCCCTCTATGGTCAGGTCATTTCTGCCGCAGGCCAGGAACTCCTTTAGGGCAAGGACTTGTCTCATCCCCCTATGCATTCTAGCACCCAGCACAGCACCCGGCATACAGCAGGTACTCAGTAATGGCCAAACTGACTGGCAGAGTCCTGGGTGGTAAGAAGGTGCTGGTTGTGACTCTCTAAAATAAAAAGCAAATCTTATCTTCCCCAGAACTGCCTGGGTAGTGTTCAGCCAAAGTCTGACCCAACTATAAAGAGGTCAGAGGCCCTGGCCCCAAACTCTATCAGAGAGTGGGTTGGGGGGGTGGTCCATCCATTCTGGATGGGAGAAGAGGTGGTTACTGCAACTTCTGTTCAGTGCCTACTATGTTCTAGGAGAATTCACATCTATTGTCTTTTCCATCACTCCAACAGTTCTTTTTTTTGGGGGGGGGGGGTTATATCTTGACTCTGATGGGGCTGCTGCTGTAGGGACTCCAACAGTTCTTAAACTGGATTTATTGTCCCAGTTTCCCTGACCAAGAAACAGGATCAGAGTGGTTCGGCAATTGGTCAAGGTCACACAGCTGCTAAGTGTAGGAGGGCGGAGGCTGGGATCCAACCTTTAACAAGTCAAAAGCCATAGGGCTCCCCCCTCCTCCACCTGGGCAGGTACTGCAGCACCTACTCTGTTTGTGAAGCGGCTGGGGTAGGGGGTGCACCTCGCACTGGGGCGTGGGTACTTAGAGCCGGGTTCAGCGCGGGGCCCGGAGCCGCTCCCAGATTCGTTAGTTACGAAGTTTCCGTGCATTTCGCTCGCTTCCCTGCGCAGCTCGTGCCCGCTCCGCAGCAGTTACGCCTCTAGCGTAGCGGGGCTCAGGTGCTGCAGCGGGCGGAGGCCTGGCACCGGGAGGAAGGTGGGGACGCAGTTTACGTAAGCGTCCGCTCACAGGTGCATGCGGCCGCCACCAGCGTGGGCCCCTTGCTGTCCCCAGGTGCGCAGTTGGCGCAGGCGGCGGCGCGGCACCGTGGCTGCGGGCGCTGGCCGGCGCTCTCAGGTGCGGCAGAGTGCGCGTGGAGGGGGCGCGCGGCGAGCGAGGGGGCGGGCTTTCCGTTCCCCAGCAGCCGCGGGGCCCGCCCCCCGGCCCGGCCAATGGGCGCGCTCGGCGGCGTCACGTGCTTGCCGCCGCTGCCGCCGAAGCGGAGACCGGAGCCGCGAGCGCCACCAGGGCAGCAGCCGCCGCAGCCGCCGCCGCTGGGCTGAGAAGCCGGAGACGCGGGCTGACGAGGTGGCGGCGGCGGCGGAGCGAGAGCGGGGACCGGGCGCGGGCGGAGCGCGGCGGCGCGGGTAGGCTGCGGCGGCGGCGGGGCAGGCGCCTGCGCGGCGGGCCGTCCCGGGCGGGCGGGCGGGGGTTAAGGCGGCGGTTAAGGCGGTTGGCGAGCCGGCCCGGGCCCCGCATTGTTTGTTGTGCGTCCTTAGCAGCGGCGGCGGCGGCCGGGGCGCAGAGCAATCCCGGCCCCCGTGGCTCAGGCATTGTGGCCGCCGCCGCCGCTGCAGTGCCCCGGCCGCTTCGGCAAGGGCAGCAGGCAGCCTTTCTCACCTTCGCGGGGACGGGGTTCCGGCGCCCAGCGAGGGGAGGGCGTGGACGGGGTGGGGGACCGGCGCTGGGGGCGTCTGGGTAAGCGGCGGCGAGGGGCTCTGGGCAGGTGTCTGAGGACACCGGGGACGGGCGCCGGGGAGGGGCTTCGGGTGCAGGGGGGGGTGCGGGCTGGTGTGGGGGAGAAGGTAGGGTGGAGGGATCCGGCCCTATGGAGGGTGAGGGCCTTCGGGCAGGTTCGGGGCGCCCAAGGGGGCCGGGGCGAGAGCGAGAGGGAAGGAGGACGTTTAGGCGGCCGGGGGGGGGGCAGTTTGTGGGGGTTCGGGAGAGTGTGAGGGACGCTTTGGGGAGGGTAGGAGCGAGTGTGATGGGAGTGGACGGGAAGATTGGGGATTCGGGGGAGGAATGGGAGAAGCGGCAGGTCCGGGCTGCGTTTGGGGGCAGATATAAAGACCACCAGCCAGATGGGGAGAGAAATGTGGAGGAAGGTGTCCGGGTAGGGGGAGTGTGACAGGGTGAGTGTGCAGAGGGAGAGGGAGGGTGTCCAGGGGTCTCCCCAGCGGTGGCGAGGGAAATGGAGGATATTCGGCTGGAGCTGTGTGCGAGGGTAGGCCCAGAGGCTTCAGGAGATCTGTGAGGGTTGTGAGCACAGTGTCTGGCCTGGAGGAGTGTAGGGGAGACAGGAGGGAGGTGGGAGGGTGTGGAGGCTGGCAGACGGGACATACAGAGGAGAACGTGTGAGGAGACGAGGCAGGTGTCCATCTGTAGTGGTGCTCAGGGGAGATAAGTGCAGGGCGGAAGGGGGAAGGTGATTGGGGCTGGGCCTGAGTTTGGGAGAGAAGTGGGGACAGTGGAGTAAGGTGATGGGGGTCGGGTAGGAAAAGACGTCTGGGTAGGAGGTGAGCAGGGCATTTAGCTTCTAGCAGAAGTGAATGAAATGGAGGGTGTCTTTGCTGGAAGTATGGATGAAGATGCAGGAGCAGACAGAAACTTTGGAGTTGGGGATCTTGGAGGGCACAGGTGGAGTGTGTGTGAGATGGAAGGCCAAAGGTGTAGGGGGTGAAGGACGTGTTCTTGGAGTGGCAGGTGAGCTGTGGGGACAGATGGAAGAAAATGTTTCTGAGCAGGAAGTGTGAGGGAAGTTGGGGAGAAAAAAGGAGAGGGTGCTGGTGTGTGTGTGTGAAGGGAAATCAGTAGAGGGAAGCAGTAAGGGATGGCTTGGAAGAAAAGGTATACAAGTCTGGAGTACAACATATGGAGGGAGGGAAGCAAGGGTTTGGGCTGCTAGATTTTGTCTGGTAGAAGTGGTTAGGCAGGGAACAGAGGGAAAAAGGGGGAAAAGCAGGATATTTGGGGGGAGAGGATATGTAGGAATGTGTAGTACCTATAATGGGGTAAGGGAAAAGCAAGGTAGGGATGTATGGGCCCATCTGTAGCTAGAAGAAGATAGCTTGTCTATTGGATTGGGGTGGTAGTGGGAAATAGGATTCCCAGGTGTAGGGCAGGAAATGACTATGCAGGTGGAGAGATTTAGGAAAAGAGGTTGCTTAAAAGAGTGTGGAAGAGCAGGGTGCTGAAGTGTGGGAAGAAATTGGAGAACTCTTAGTCTTGAGAGATTAAAGGGAGACTTGGCAGAAATTAAAGGGGCCACAATTTTAGGTCACTGGAAGTATAAGCAAGGGCAGAGTGCAGAAGTTGGGAAAAAAAATCAAACGAGAGGAGATTAAATTCTAGATTTAGAGAAATTGAAGCGTGTGTGGGGTTTGTGTGGAATATGGAGGACAGTAGACCCTGTACCATAACTAGAGTTCATGCTTCTAGAGTCAGAGAGATCATGAAGACCGATTTTAGTTCCAGAACCCAATGAATGGGGAAGGGATAAGGGAGAGCTGAGCACACATTCCTAAATTTGGAGGAGGTGTGTGGTGGGGTATCATTCTAGTACATTGGTCTGATGAGTGGGCAGACAGAAGAGGCATACACCAAAAGTGAATAGAAATAGGAATGCAGCAGGTACAGGACAGATATCTTTGTGAAGATACTGTAACAGCAGGGCTCCGTGTCAGTAACATTCAAGGACTGTGTATTGGAGAGGGAGGAAGGGATACCTTGGTGCAGTGTCTCATATACGCTGGTGGTTTCTGGGTAATGGGGCAGTTTTCAGACATTGAATGATGTAATATCTGAGTCCCATGCTAGAGGCAGGCAGAGGTAATAAATACATCCAGCACTCAGAAGTGGCTGGAATGGAGCTCTTCGACTCTTTAACTTTCCGTGTGTAAGTACCTGATCCTGGATGTCAGCCTTTTCTCCTAAATAGTTCAAGTAAAATTTAATTGGAGGCTTTTGGATTTTTGGGTATTTTTATTTGAGTTGAGGGCAGTGTTAGTTTTATTGAGGAAAGACTTCTGGGGTTGTGTGGAGATAGGGATATCAGCTTGCCAAACACATAGGAAATAACCTTTAGGGGTTTGAGCACAGACATTTCAGTGTAGGTCTCATTCAAGTGATCTGTGGCAGGATTTTCTAGAATCTTGGAAAATGGTTTCCCCTTTGACAATTGAAAATTTAGTTTGTCAGATTTTGAAAAAGAAAAGTTTATCACATTGCAGAAATAACTTCAGTTATCGCTTTGTGGGCTTCCAAGTAGTGTGGAATGTGGTACCTAGTATGATTTCAAATTGAAGGTCTGCTTTGGTATGTTGGGAAGCTTTCTGGGTTGATTACTTTTGCTCTTTTGTCAATTTAAAAAGGATTTTAATGCAGCCATTATAAGTAAGTTCAAATAATAAGTTTGAAAGTGGGAATCTTGCTTAAACATAATGAGGGCTGAGTAGAACACCACATTTTAAGTAATCTGAATCTGTAAATATAAATAAAAAATAAACTGGAAGATAATCATTTTGAGATCCAAATTTGAAGTATATTATGAAGGCAGCAAAATAATGTTCTGAAGGCATTGCTGTAATATTTTATTTTTGGAGGGAAAGATTTTTAGAGTATAATATGCCTTCCATCGAAACTTAGCAGTATTTTGAGATTAGATATATGTAAAGAATATAATTGTAAAGAGCATAGCTGGTCTGATCCCTTTGGCTCCCTGGAAGAGAATTTGACTAGTAGTATGTAAGATGGGTAGAGTGACCTTTGAAAAATCTTTTCAATATGGCTGTTGTTTCCTTTTGTATTTTTAAGTCCATTGTGTTCATTTTAATGAATTGGGGCAAGCAGTACTTTCTTCCTCAGAATACTCATTTCTGGCATAGTGTTCTGATCATTTGTATTGTTCTGTGAAGTTCTGTGGTTTGGGATAGTTTGTAGGCACTTTAAAATATTAAGCTAAGTTTATGAACCAAGGAAAGAAGGTTATTTAGACTTTGTAGGCTAAATAATTGGGTCTGGTTTTATTTTCATTGGTCTTGCTGGACAAGATACTTAATCCCTTTGTGCTTGTTTCTCCTCCAGAAACCTGACTCTTTATCTACCTCCCATGAGAACTGAGATGGTTTATATAAAACAAGTTTAAGTCTTTCAGGAAGATCAGAACTTTGTAAATATGGGGGATAGATGTTATTTCTTTAGTTCCTTTTTTCCTCTAGCCTGGTTTTAAACAATAATTAATACTTTAGATTTTGGCATTAAATAGGTTAATTTGTAGTGAGAAACTGATAGGGATGAAACTTCTGTGAATATCGGAGATGTCTGTGAATTGAAGTTTGTTCATTCTTTGCTCTGTCTATTGTCTTTCCTGGCTAATTTTTGCAGTCTGTGTGAATTCTTGAGTAAAGCAGAAGCTTGTGAGAAACATTCTGAGTTTTAGCTATAGCCCAAGATTATTTCTAAGCCTGAATTTCCAGAGACAGTGCACTTCCGTCACTTGGTGAATTCAATTCTTAAATCAGGAATAATAAACATAATACATTTTTCTATGTATTTTTCAGAAAATTGATCAATTATGAGTGACTTGAGCAAAAAAAAAAAAAAAGAGCTATCCCTTCTAGTGGCATTAAGCCTCCTTTTTCAGATTTATTGATACTTTTTCCTTTTGCAAGGTTTAGTTGTCAAATAATTACCCATCCATTTGAATTTCCAAGCTCATAGATAGGTTATACTCTGTTTAAGGGGCAATAATTTTTAAATGCTTTTAAAATGTTATATTTGTTTTATTGTAAAGAGCCGCCAGAGCCTCCAAATGCTGGTCATGATAGATATTACAAAAATGTAAATAGTAAGTTGCTTTATTAGACATGAATTTGCTTGAGCTTGGTAATACCGAGCCCTGATAGTAGTCTTTCTGTGCTAGCTGATCTACTTACTCTTATGTAACATTTTTGGACACCATTATTTATCTTACAGCTCTTCTGTTTTTTATTTCATTTATTGGAAAATTGAGTTGTTTTATTATTATTATTATTTTTTTAATTTATTTTTTTAGAGAGAAACATCAGTGTGAGAGAGAGAACATTGATCGGCTGCCTACTGTATGCCCCTCACTGGGGATCCAGCCCGAAACCCGGGCATGGGCCCTGACCAGGAATCAAACCGCAACCTCTCAGTCCATTGGACAATGCTCAGTCCACTGAGCCACACCGGCCGGGTGAAAATTGAGTTGTTTAAAAAATTTGTTTAGCTGTAGAAAAACTTTATGTCAGGTAATTATGAGAGGCTTCATAATCCAGTCTAATTTTAGAAAACTGTTTATTGAGAGATGTAAGTTAAATTTATATGTTAGTCAAAACAGAAAGGAATA